ATCAGCAAGTGCTTTGGGCCCAAGATCGTGAAAGCAATGCTGCCACTTTCCTGTCCTTGAAACTAGGCCCCATCAGGAGCCATAGTTGATGACACTTGAATTCACTGGGGGCTGCTGCAGGGCAGCCGAGTGCCCCCGGGGACACATCCTTCCTGGAGGGTACTTGGATCAGCTAGAATAATGTCCCCACTAAATGCATGTTCACCCTAAACCACAGGATGTGAATATATTTGGGAAAAATGTATTTGTTGGTGTGACTAGTGAAGCTTAGGGTGTGCTGGATTAAGGTAGCCCTAAAACCACCGGTGAACAGCCTTGTAAAATTTGCCAGTCAAGCGTGGTGGTGTATGCCTGCAACCCCAGCACTCAGATGGCCACTAGTTTTTGGCCAGCACAAGGTATATCGAAAGACCTTGTCCCAAGGTTTTTGTTTTTGTTTTTTTTTTGTTTTTCTTGGTTTTACGAGACAAGGTTTCTCTGTATTGTTTTGGAGGCTGTCGGTCCAGCCTGGCCTCGAACTCACAGAGATCCGCCTGCCTCTGCCTCCCGAGTGCTGGGATTAAAGGCGTGCGCCACCACCGCCCGGCCCCAAGGTTTTTTAAAAAAGTGAAAGTCTGTGTGAAGATTACAGCATTGATGGTAACAACAGGCTTCAAGACAAGGAACATCAAGTGGCTGGCATCCTTGGGAGCTCCTCAGCTTTCCAGAAGGAACCAGTCTTGCTGACATCTTGGTTTGGACTCTGGCCTCCAGGAGGACAGAGAACAATGTCCTGTTGTTCTAAAACCACCCACTTTGGGGTCAGTGATTAAAGAAGCCAGAGGAAGCTAATACACCACCCAGAAAGGCTGAGGGTCTCAGGAGGACTGGAGACAACAGGCAGGCATTGGAGCCCCCCAACTCTGCTTAGGTACAGGAGCATTCAGAAGGCTTCCAACCAGAGAAGGGAGGTGCCTTGTGCCAACCCCACAAAGGATGCTCAGGACAGTAGTGGGTCCAGTCAGCCTGACTACAATTACAGCTGGGTTTATGGGCAAGTGGGTGGCAGCCACCATTAGAGTCCTCCTCACAGTCCTTACTGGGTTGGTTGACATGGTTATGGTTGATCTCAGCAGCACAAAGGCCCAGAGGCTGGGGAAGCTTAGAAGGAGTCACAAGGGATGCAAGTGTTAGCTCCTATCTTGGACCTGGTGGATGGTTGCATAGCCTCAGTCCCTTCCCCTTGCTCCGTGTCCTGTTGCTACATAGTGTAGTTTATAGCATGCACTGCAGGCAGGATGTCCTCTGGAGAGACATACTCCAGAACTCAAAATAGCATGAAATTTAATTTTCCGCCTATTTGACAAGGCTTGGATGGGGCCCCAATCAGCAGCATAGATAAGGGTCCTCGGGTCCAGGGTGTTGGCCAGCTGGACCCGAGGCAAACACTCCATGGTCCCCAGGCAGGCTGCGTGCAGGTGAGGCCGTCTTCGGGCACTCCCCCCGCGGGGACTCTGGTTGCTGGGCGCTAAAGCAAACGGGATATGTTTGCCCAGTCTGCGATGACAATGCCGTTGCCAAATATTTGCCAGCCTCAGGCAGTTGTGGAGCCCAGCTATAAATGCTTGCACCCCAGGTGGAGGTGGGCCTGCTGAGTGAGCACTGCAGTTCCAGTCAGGTAGGAGCCTGGGTGTGTGGGTTGGAGTCTTCTGGGATGGAGAGGAGAGATGGGGGGGAATTCCTTCCACAGGGAATATGTCTGCCTTGAGTTCTCCACTAGCAGTCATCCTCAAAGACACGTGTCATGACCACTGGGCACCTCCTGGGACAGGAATCCATCAATGTAGGACATCGATGTGGCCAGCCTCTGCTTCCCAGAGTTTCAAGATAGCAGGGAGGGGCTGTGCAGTTTGAACCTGAGGGGATCTGAGCAGGGGGCCACTCATACCCAGGTCCCTGAGAAACAGATCATCCTCTGACACACCTAAGGTACTCCCCTTTCTTTGTGAAGAAGCCTGGTGACTCTAGGATCCAGGTGCAGCCGCTTCAGGGTCTCCAGCCAGGAAGAGCCGTTTTACCCTCCCAGCCATGTCCTCTTCCTCACTCATCACTGGTCCTTCGGGCTTTTTGAACCTGCACAGCAATTAGTGGGGTTCACTCCTTTAGGAATCCTTCATCTGTCCCCACAACCCTTAGCAGGAGGTCTGGGTGGGAGGCACTCAGGTATCCTCACATGGTGGTCAGGTATCAAATTAAAACCCAGGGCTAGCTGGTCGTGGTGGCTCATGCCTATCATCCCTCCATTCAGGAGATGAAAGCAGGGTTGATGCAGGTTCTCCCAAGTGAGTCTCCTTTCTTTTTTTCTGTTTTTCTAGACAGTTTCTCTGTATAGCCCTGGTTGTCCTTGTACTCACTCTATAGACCAGGCTGGCTTCAAACTCTGAGATCTGCCTGCCTCTGCCTCCTGAGTACTGAGAGAATAAAGGCGTGTGCCACCATGCCTAGTTTGAGGACACCCCCCTTTTTTGTTTTTTCAAGACAGTGTTTCTCTGTGTTGCTCTGGCTGTCCTGTAACTCACTCTGTAGACCAGGCTGGCCTCAAACTCACAGAGATCCACCTACCTCTGCCTCCTGAGTGCTGGGATTAAAGGCATGCACCACCACTGTCTGGCTTGACCCTTTTCTTTAAAAACAAGGATCCCTACCCAGGAATGGTGACACATGTCCTTAATCCCAGAACTCTGGAGGCAGGGACAGGCAGGTCTGTGTGAGTCTGAAGCCAGACCAGTTTACATAGCAAGTTCCAGGACAGCCAGGACTAGGAGAGAGACCCTATCTCAAAACAAAAGAAAACCAAACCAAACAAAAGCAGAAAAAAAACTAAACCCCAACAATGTCCCTCCTCAGAAAAGAACTGCAGAGCTGTGACTGTAGCTAGGTAAGAACCAGGTTGGGTGGGGCTTTTTGGCCACTACAGCCCTTGAAGCTCTCCATAGCATCTGCCAGGGTTCTGGACCTGTGAAGGTGCTGTCCTGTCTCCACAGTGATCCCTGCCTGTCCGGGTAGTACTCATCTCTAACTTCTGCATCTCCTACCCTACTCTGTGTCCTGCATGGTCACAGCTGTGGTGGTTCTAATGGTTCCTCTGCACCACGACGGCCCCACCTACACCAGAGGATCCTGTACACCCACATCTCTGAGCTCAGGGATCAGAACAAGAAAGAGCGAGGCAGCCTTTCCAGGATCATACATTCAGGCTGTGTCCAGTGGGCACTGCCGGTCCTAACTTGCCAACCCACCCCTTTGCTTTCCTCCTAGCTTGTGTCTGCTATCGCAGGACCATCCCCCAAATTAACAAGATGGCTGCTGGTGTGATACGGTCTGTCTGTGACTTCCGGTTGCCCCTACCATCACATCAGCCCTTCCTGCCCACAGATCTGGAGGCTCCGGAAACTTCTGAAGAGGAAGAAGAGGAGGAGGAAGATGAGGAAGAGGGAGACCAGGAGCTGCAAGATAAGGGGCCACACGGCTGCAGCCCAGACTCCCAGAGCTCAGGAGTGGCCCCCCAGAGTCCCAGCAGCCCTGAGACCCCAATGCAGCTGCTGCGCTTCTCAGAGCTCATCAGTGGCGACATTCAGCGGTACTTTGGACGCAAGGACACAGGGCAAGACCCAGATGCCCAAGACGTCTATTCTGACAGCCAACCAGCCAGCTGCTCTGCCAGGGACCTCTACTATGCTGACCTGGTATGCCTGGCCCAGGATGGGCCCCCAGAGGATGAGGAGGCTGCTGAGCAAAGTGTGCATGTGCCCCGGGGGCCTGAGGGTCAGATGCACAGGTCGAGCCATCGAGGAGACAGGGTGCCACCGCTGGGCCCCCTGGCTGAGCTCTTTGACTATGGGCTTCGGCAGTTCTCCAGGCCCAGAGTGTCAGCTTGCCAAAGACTGAGGCTAGAGCGGAAGTATAGCCACATTACCCCCATGACCCAAAGGAAATTGCCTCCATCCTTCTGGAAGGAGCCTGTGCCTAATCCACTAGGCTTACTGCATCCTGGCACACCAGATTTTAGTGATCTGCTGGCCAGTTGGTCTGCTGAGGGTAGCTCCGAGCTGCAGAGTGGAGGCACTCAGGCCATGGAGGAGACACAGCTGACTGAGGTGTAGTGAGTATACAGGTAAGGAATGTGCTGGGGCAGCAGTGACCCTTTTGAAGACACCCAGCCTCTCCTTCCTGTAGCCCTGGCACCTCCCTATTGGGTCTATTCAGGTAGCAATGCGCTTGGCTCCCCCCTCAAGAGGAGAGCAGACCCGAGAGGATCTGGGTTCATCCTGAGCCTGGAATTGCTGCCACCAGCAGTGGGTAGGGAAAGCAAATGCTTGTCTAGACCTGGCCATACATGGCTACAGCTCTTGGAGGACCCACTGTATACAGCAGACCTCAGAACTCTGCCCACAGGAAGTGGACAGAACTCAGGCAAGAAATGAGAGTCACTTGCACACATGTCCCTCTGGGGAGACCCATTCTTTACCAAGTCAGCCCCAAGATTCAAGGTGGCAAAGGGCGGCTGGGTTGGGGACCAAACAAGGCCAGCCCTCTCACTGTCTCTCTCTGTAGGTCCAGAGCTGATGATTCCATGTGCCATCTCCTCAGCAAGGACTGGGAGTTTCACGCAAAGTGCAGGCTTTCTTGAGAGGCTAGAAGAGGGACACTGCTTGATCACACAAAGAAACATAGATGTTGACCCTCCAGTGTTAATGGGCAGCTGGGCAGGGGTGAGGCTGATCTGAGGACTCTCACAGGTAGCAGGGGTGGGTCCTGACAGGTGTGGCTCGGGTGCCTCCATCCAGAAATTCCAGGAAAGGTGATAAAAGTGCCCGGGGCTAAGCAGGGCAGGATGGGTCCTTCAGGGTCAAACAACTTAGGCCTTCTATTTGCTCCCTCTCACTGCCTGATGCCCTTGCCAGGCCTATGAGCTGTGAAAAATCTATTCCATCAGATAACAGGAGACTCTGACCCCAGTATGTTAAAGAACTGGCGTGTTTATTTCTGGGACAGGGTCAGAGACGTGATCTGGACTGCAGGCTTCCAGTGGGTCATCTCCGAGATTGCTCCTGGCCTTTGATGGACCACCAAGTTCAAGAGGACTGTCTTCCACTGAAGCCACCTGCCCAGAGACACAGCTCATACACAACACACCTCCTTGTGGCTGGGCTGCTACCCTTGGGAGACCCAGGCTTTCAGCTGCCCACCTCACAGCCTGATACACGCCCCAGGAGTTCACAGGGACCAGCTCGCCCAGGGCTAGGTCCTTGATGAAGAACCGCTGCCTCACCAGGGACATGAATACCCGCTTGCTGCCCAGTGTCAGCGGCCAGGGGCCCTCCTCGCTCCACAGGCTCAGCATGCTCTCACGCAGAGTTGCAATTTCCTCTGTGCGCTGCAAATGCAGAGATGTGGTGTTAACGGGACCCATGGGAGATGAGACAACTGCAGAGAAATGGGGATGGATCACAGGGGTGGGCAGAGGATGTGTGTAAGTGGGGATATCTTCTATGGAGGAAGCCCAGCAGTAGGCCCTCATCTCCAGGAAACACTGTTCAGCACCACCCAGCTAGCAAACTGCTTGGGCCCCAAGGAGACGGGAGAAGAGAGACTTGGTGCAGGCTAGCAGAGAGTGAGTGATCAGTGGTTTTCCAAGTTTCCTCTCACCAGCTTGGTCTCGTTATTAAACTTCAGGTTCTGGATGGTCTTGTTGGCCTGGAGGCTGTTCTCTAACTTTATCATTTGCTTCTGAAACTAAACACAGCTCCAATCATGGGTAGACATGGACTACTGATGTCCAGATGTACCCATTACTACAGAATCACCAACACCTGGAGGTTAGGGAAATGGATGCAAGAGGCTTCCTGGGGCCCAAGGGGTACCGTGGCCAGTTGGCCCTGGATCTCCGCAATCTTCCGTCCAGGGTTCTCCTCCTTCAGAAACTGCACAGACATCAGCAGGGTGGCTAGCTCCTGTCGCACAGCCTCAACCTCAAACTCTCTGTGGGCACCAAGGGCTGGTTGTAGGGGAGTCCCAGAGCCCAAGAAAGAAGGCAAGGCTATCACAAGGCTAAACTTGAGTGCATGCAGGTTATAGCACAGGAGGTAGAGCCCAGGTGGGCCTGGCTGGGGAAAGGGCAAGCATGGGTGCAGAGGTGCAGGGCTTGGAAGAGTACTGTGGGGATCAGTGACAATCCGGAGGTCCCAAGTTTCTGTGCCTCCCAGTGGCCTGGGAGGCTTCAAACCTACCTGGTCTTGCCCTCAGCAGAGATCTTCAGGTCCACATCATTCTTGAGAAGAACACATTTGTTGGAGATACTTTCTATCTGAAATGTGGAAGATGTAGGAGCCCAAGGTGACTCAGCACAGCCACCTGGGAGCACCAGGCTAGTTCAAGCGCAGCCAGGGCCTGGATCCTCAAGGCTAGCTGCATCCTGGCCTTACCCACCTGCTGGGGCAGGCTGTTCACTTTTTCTTGCATCTCCTGCAAGTGAGTTGAGACCTCTTTCAACCACTGGGCATGATTCTGTAGGGACTCCCTCTCCATGCCTTCCCAAGCAGCCTGCACCTACAATTTCAACATCGGTGAGGGATGGTACACAGATGGATAGACAGGGCTGACTGAAGTCAGAGGCAGAGTGTCTGACTCTGAGCATGTTTGTATATAGACCCACAGGTGGCCTGGTTTGTATATAAACAGCCTGGCCAGACACTGCAGAGCACAGAGATGCCAGACCTATGGTCTTCCCAGCCAAGGCTAGCCAGCTGAACAGAGTCATGTCTTTGAAGAGGTGACAGTTGGTAGAGAGAGGAACAGAGAAGAGATTGGCCACACTGCAGGAGGGTACAGACACTGTGGTCAAAGGACCCTGTTGGCAGCAACTCTGGCCATACATGCACAGAAGGGTTGCAGAGCCAGCCAAGATGGGGGGATTCAGAGGAAATGTTCACAGGAGCTGCAAAGGAGAACAGCCCCGTGTCTATCGGCAGAGAAGCAAGCAGAGCATGGCCTGTCCGCTTGAGGGAACGTTATCCAGCTGTAAAGGGATGAAGCATGGGTCCACACAACAGCGAGGACCCATGAGGGCAGCTTAAGAGAGAAGGCTGGGGTGACAGGGATGGGATGAAGGGCCTGCAGCACACAAATCAGAGCTGGAGGGGGAGAAGAGAGACTCTGGGGTTTCTATCTGAAGTAGTGAAATAACTTTGAAGCTGACTTGGCTTTTCTATGGATGTGTTTTAGTTAGGGTTAGGGTTGAGCTCAGACATGTGATCCCAACACTCAGGAGGCGAGGCAGGAAAACTGACTATGAGGCCAGCCTAGGCCACATGGCAAGACCCTCTCTTAAAACACAAAAACCAAATGGGAGGAGGTGAGGGGTGGGAGGAAGCGAGGGGGACAGGAAGAGGGGTGGGAGGGAGAACTGTGGTTGGAATGTAAAATGAAATAAAAAACTGAAAAAAAAAACCAAAACAACAACAATAAAAATAATAATGGGCTGAAGGAACGGCTCAGCAGTTAAAAGCACATGCTGCTCTTCCAGAGGACCGGAGTTTGGTTCCCAGTATCCATGTTGGGTGGCTCACAACCACTGTAACTTCAGCTTCAGGAGACTGATGCCCTCTTCTGGTCTGAGCGCTCATATACATGTGGTATGTACACATAGACATATAAATAAAAATATATAGAAGAAACTCAAATAAATATAAAACCGAATAAAATCCACCTGTTTTTTGGTTTTTCGAGACAGGGTTTCTGTGTGTAACAGCCCTGGCCATCCTGGAACTCACTCTGTAGACCAGGCTGGCCTCAAACTCACAAAGATCCATCTGCCTCTACCTCCTGAGTGCTGAGATTAAAGCTGTGGCAAAAGGTGATTTTTTTTTTCTTTGTCAAGCAGGGTTTCTGGTTGGCCTGGAATTCATTGTGTAGAACAGGCTGACCTAGAACTCATAGAGATCAACCTGAGTCTTCCTCCCAAGGGCTGGGATTAAAGGAATGAGCCACCACCACTGCTGGACTGAAAGAGGGAGGAATTGTAGGAAGGAAGGAGGGAGGGAAGGAGAAAGAGAGGGAAAGAGAAAGAAGAGAAAGAGAGAGAGAGAGAGAGAGACAGACAGAGAGAGAGAGAGAGAGAGAGAGAGAGAGAGAGAGAGAGAGCACGAGCGAGCATGGCAAGGGCTGGGAGTCCTGAAGGAGCCACCCTGCCTGATTCAGAGGATCGGTCTTTATCCTGGCCCCACCGTCTTTACTGCCCTTCCTTATGGGCCTGTCCACCTCACCTGAGACAGCTTCAGGCCTAATGTTTGCTCCTGCAGGTCTAACTTCCAGTTGAGAGCTAGATAGTGGTCACTCAGGTCCTTCAGCTGCTGGTCCAGCCCTGCCATCGACCCCTCTAGGACCTGGCTCTTCTCTTGGAGCTGCATGAGACAGTATGGGATCAGGGAGGCTCTGGCTAGATGCCTGTGTACACAGGGATTCCTGCCGACCACCACTCCCTCAGCCGCTTACCAGCTGCAGTGCACCCTGCGTTTCCTGCTGGGCTAGCTGGCCAGCCATCTGCACAGCCTCCAGATTCTCGTGGACATACGAGGCCAGCTCCCCGGCCTGGCTCTCCTCCAAACTCACCTTGGCCTCCCTGCATATTGATGCTCAAATTGTCCGTTCCCATCGGTCAATGAGGGGACCTGGTTGCTAGCTCTGGGACCTTCCAGGTGATTTTGTGAACCAGAGGATGGGTGCTACCCAGCAGGGGCTCTGAGTGAGGGTCAGGGTGGAGGAACAGCCGCTCTAGCAGAGGCCTGCTAGACTGACATAACCTGTCCTACTGGCCTAATGTTTAACTCACAACTGTAGGGGTTGAGGCAGGGCATTCCCCAGCTGAGCTCAGCCAGTGGTTAGCTGAGCAAGGGTCTGGGTGGCCCACTGTCCTGATATGACACCCACCGAGCCTTCTGTTCAGCCAGCAGGACACGATTCAGCGACACCTGGTTTTGTCGCACAAACTTGGTCAGATAGACCACGGCTTTGTCCAGGCCCCGGCACTGCTCCAGCAGGCGGCCCTCCTCCTCCTGCTGTGGCAGAAGTGACCCTGAGCCTTGCTGACCCCCCCATCTCCCACACCACCTGGCCACCCAGGCCCACCTCACGATGTGCCCGCAGACGCTCCTCCATCAGTTCCTGTAGCTTCTTCCAGCGGCTTTCCAGTTCCTCTCGAAGGCTGCTTTCTGCCATGAGTCGTGCGCTCTCTGAAGACTTCATTCTCTGTGGAGACAGCACTGGCCGCTGTGAATTTGTGACCCACCGGGGCAATCCATGAGGACACTGGGTCCCGCCCAGGCCCTCACCTGCTCCATGGCCAGGAAACACTTCTGCAGAAAACTGCATAGTTTGGCCTCCCTCTTTAGGAAGCGGATGCTCATCTCCTCACCGAATTCAGTCACCTGGTCCTGGGAGGGGTCACATGGTCACCTGAAGCCTCCCCACTGGATGTCCTTCCCTACCTGGCGCATCCACCCTCGCACCCAGATCCCATTCCCTCCATGTTCCAGTCCCTGCACAGGAGGCTGCATGCATTGGACAGACAGGACCCACTGTCCTCTGAACACTAGCTCATGGGCCAGGAAGGGACCTAAAGGTCAAGGTCACAGGAGTTCAGACAATGCAGCGCACATTCAGAGCTCCAATGTATCAGGGAAGGTTGTGCAATGGGCCCTGAAACCCATGCTGAGCCGGAGCTTCAGTAAGAGAAGCAGGTGTGAAGACACCCCCACTATGTGAGAGCATCCCCACCCATGTGGGAACACCCCATTCACAGGAAGGGGGTGGGAGGGAAACTAGATGTAACCCTTTGCCTTCTCTCTATGCTGCCCTCCTATTGCCCTGAGGGCCTGAAGGCACAGGACAGAGGTTCGAGGCCCAACCCAGCCTTCTGTCCTTCCTCCTCACACCCTCTGTAGTACAGTTGTCTCCTTTAGGACTAGGCATAGCCAGTGCCATTATGGAGTTGAGCATCTGTGGTGATGATCTCTTGAGAACTTGGTCCACAATCACAGCTATGAGAAACAGCTCTAAGGAGATAGCTCTGTTTTAGAGGCTGTTCTGGAACTCGCTCTGTAGTCCAGGCTGGCCTCGAGTGCTGGGATTAAAGGCATGTGCCACCAACTCCCAGCCCTCAGCCACTTTTTCTGTTTGGTTTTTGTTGTTGTTGTTGTTTGTTTTTCAAGACAGGGTTTCTCTGTATTGTTTTGGAGGCTGGAACTCGCTTGGTAGACCAGGCTGGTCTCGAACTCACAGAGATCTACCTGCCTGTGCCTCCCAAGTGCTGGGATTAAAGGCATGCGCCACTTTTTCTGAAGGACCAAAAAGCAAACATTTCAAGCTTACAGGGTCTCCTCTGAAGCCTCCAAACTCTTGTCCAAAGTCGCCACTGCCACTATGTTAAACAAATGTTCATGGCTCTGTGCCAACCAAGCCTTATTACAAAAACAGGTATTGGGTGTAAAGTCCTGACACCATTGCTGAAGACCCCGCAAAGGGCCTGAACCCTCCCTGCCAAGGAATCCTTATCCCTAAGCTCCTGTGCTCTCGATGATGCCAATGTATCAGCTTCCCAGCAGCTCTGAGGGGGATGCCACTACCCTGGGCAGCAAAACTATGTTGGGACAGCTGGAAGTGTGCACTGGCCGCCCCATCCTGTGAGGAGCTGGACACTTAGAACAGCAGCTGTAGTCACTGGTCTCTGAGCCAAGGAGCTGGATGGCAGGCATGTGTAACCATTCTCCAGCCCCATGAGGCCCCTCTTAAGGGTACCACGCAGAAGGCAGAACAAGCTGCCCTGGGGATTTGTGACTCCTACTTGAGGGAAATGCTAAAACGGAAAAAAGCTGCAAAAGGGACTTTAGGACCAGATGTCCTTTTCTGATAGTTCACCGAGACGGTAAGAGGCCCCTGCTCGCCGGGTGTTGGTGGCGCACGCCTTTAATCCCAGCACTCGGGAGGCAGAGGCAGGCGGATCTTTGTGAGTTCGAGGCCAGCCTGGTCTACAGAGTGAGTTCCAGGACAGCCTCCAAAACAATACAGAGAAACCCTGTCTCAAAAAAACAAAACAAAACAAAACAAAAAAGAGGCCCCTCCTCCTTGCCCGTGCCTTCTGTTTCCCCAACCATAGCAACACAGCACTTGAAACGTGGCTGTGTGACAGCAGAAGTAAGTTTTCGATGCCTGAGAAGGCAGCTAAGGTCAGTGAATGGGCAATGCCAGGTGGGATGGGAGGTTACCAAATCAGACAGAGCAGTACTGGTGAGCCTTTGTGTTATCGTGTAGACGGACACAAAAAACTGCAGGAAGGGAGACCCATTGATGGCAAAGCCATAGGCTAGGGACACTGGAGACCTTCTGATGACTCCTGCCGAGGCTAGCTAGGCCTGGATTTCAAGAGGTACCTGCATCTTGGCCAACCCATGGTCCACCTTTTGGCTGGTGTCCTCCTGGTTCTTTTGTAGGGTGCTGCAGGCTGCTCCCCGGCCCTTCTCCTCTTGCCTCAGCAAGTCAGTCAGCTTGGTCACCCTAGAGGCAGTAGGTGCGGGAACACCAACTCAGCTGGAGAACCACAGGGAGGCTGGTGGGCTTTGGGACCCTAGGTTCTTCTTAGGCTGGGGAACACAACCTGCCCAGGTAACACATGGAAGTGGAAATAGACCTTGGAGTCCCTAGTGAGGGCAAGTGACCAAACAGAGAGAGGAAGGTGGGCACCCCAGTAGTCAGCAGTTCTAATGGCAGAGGATGGCCCACTGGTGGCACTAGGGCATAGGGCAGGTAGGACCTCAGCCTCAGGTAGGCCTGAGACTCCTAATGTGTATACAAAGCTGGTTTGGAGCCAGTCCAGGGAATTGGCCCACCTGAGGTTTATCTCCTGCTCGGAACATTTTCGTTCTGAGTCCTGTAGCACCTGTGTCCTCCTGATCTGTGTCAAAGCCTCTCGGACTTCCACCAGCCTGGGATAAGGAGTTGCCCTGCCAGCCCCAGAGCAACTAGGCAGCATTTATTGCTGCAGGTCTAGCCACGGGGCCCTGAAACCAGTCTCCCACCGCCTGTACAGTGCAGACCCCAATCTGGGTTGGACTATGATATGCATCATTTACTTAAACAAGACTAACCAGGGGAAAATACACCCACATGGGCCCTAACACCTGCTACTCCTGGGAAGCGTGGGCCCCAGTCCCTCCCACTGAAGCTTATCCTTGTCTCTCTGTGTACCTTTTGTCCAGGACTTGTATCTGGTTCTGGCTCTGGGGCCCAGACAACTGCAAGGAGGAGGAAAGAGGGACTAGGCAGGCCAAGTCTGCTGCCTACGAAGTCCTTCCAGTACTGATGAGGGTGGACGTGTAGGAGCCAGGGCGTAGAGCCACCGGGATTAGTAGGGTCAGGGTCCAGGAAGCTATTCCAAGACCAGGAAAGGGTGGCTTGCTTATGCCTGCGCTCCGCCTAAGGCCTCACCTCTAGCGCCTCCTTCTCAGGGCTCCAAGCTGCCTGCTGCACTTCTTGCCTCAGCTGTCGCAGCTCTGAGGCCTGCAGCTGCACACGGGCACGAACCTGCAGGAGCTCACGGAGCAGGCCCAGTGTGGCCTGCTCACAACGTTCCTTGTGCCTCCTCAGGTGAACCACCTCAGCCTGCAGCTCGGCTACCCTGGTCAGGGCCAGAGCAGCTGGGTCAAGCAAACTGAGCCTCTCTTAAAGATTAACTCCCTCAGTGTGTCATCTCCCTGTTTCTCATACTGTGAGGCTCACCACTGTTCCAGCTGTTTCCGCTGCTTAGGGGTGTCATGTTCAGGGACCAAGGAGCTGGACGCCAGGCCACCACACTCATACCTCTCTGAGGTTTCCACACTCAAGGGCTCAGGGCTGGCTAGGCCTTCTGTTAAGAGAAGCTCCAGGTCCTCGAGCGTGACCGTGCTCAGTTGTGAAGGTGAAAGCCCTGGTGAGGGACTGTCGGCTGGCTCTGGAAGGAGGCACCTCGGGAGCTCATGCACAGGAACAGTTAGCAGTTCCTATAATCTTGCTCAATGCCATCCTGAGCCCAGCTCTTGCTGAGTCAGAGGCCAGGAGGGGTGGAGGGCCGGGAGGGAGGACATAGAGTTCTGGGAAGCAAGAGTAGCCAGCTCTATCAGCCCCAGTGAGGTTCAGAAGCAGGACTGCTCTGCATATCCCATCCCCTCCACTCACCTGACATGGCTTCACCAGCAGTTACTACCTGTAGTTCAGGTTACGGTATCAGCGCCTATGTGACTGCCCAGAATTGGACATCAAGGCCAGGGTGGCTGAGAGGTTGGCTGGAGGGAAGCAAGTAACCCAGGCCAGGAAGCTGCAGGGACTGGGGACAGATGGAGGGACAGAAGGCTTTCGGCCAGAGTAGGTAAGGACTTAGAGGTTGTGGGACTTAGGGAGGTGAGTAAAAGGAAAGGTCTTTGGGAAGAAGGTGGGGTCAGGATGGAGACTGTGGCCCTCTGGGAGAAGATGAGTCAAGAGGCTGGGGGCCCCTGAGAGCAGTATGAGATAGTGCGCTCCTGCCCTTATACCTGCCTCAGCTGAGTTAGTCTAGAACCTTCTTTTTCTCTCCAGAACCCTATGACTTCATGGCCAACTGCCAATGGAACCTGGGTCCTCATTTACCCTGTCCTACAGCCTCCCTAACTTCTGGATGCTGGAAGGAGGCGGGGGGGCGGGATGGACGGACTATGAGGCATCCCTCTTGCAAAAGGGCCTCTTCTGGTTATGGCCATGGTGAAGAGGTCATCCAGGAACCTTCACAGATCCTTGAGTCACACACATAGAGAGTAAGGGTCCTAGGCAAATGGGACATAGCTAGCCCTGCATCTAAGAGCAGAAACACCCAGAGGGTAGGATGGCAACCACAGAAGGGGACACTGGAGTTTCAGCCCTCTCAAGAGCCACAATGAGAATATTGGGAGAGACAAGTTTTGATTGTTTTATTTAACCTAATATATCCAAAAATATCATTTCAACATGTAGTCAACACAGAACTGAGGACAGATTGCACATGCTTTTTTGGTACCAAGTCTTTGAGGCCCTGTGCAGTGTTTTTCATCTCCTTGGGTCCAACTCAGATATGGCTCTTCCCAATCCAGAGCACCCCTGGCTTTGCTACAAAGACCTACCCACCAGGGCCAGTGGAGCAGGCAAGGTGGGTCAGCTACAACTTCTTGTAATGCAGAGCCTGGCACACCCAGACTTGAGGACAGGATGTCATCCAAGCAGGTAACAGAAACCACGCTCTGCACTGAGCCTGAGAGCAAGGTTATGAGAGGGGGATGAGGTCAGGTCCCTGGGCTAGCTGAAGTACTTGTCAAGAGCTGCAAACCACTGCCCATCACAGACAGCAGCTACTGTCTACAGAGGTGCCACCTGCACTTGCTTTATCACCACGCTGAGTGCACACATCTCCAGAGTGCTGAGCCCTAGGTAGGAGTCTCATTTCTCATACCCAGATTCAACAATATACTTAGTCCACCTCCTCATGGAACGAAGAGCCGCTCCTCTGGAGGGATGATGACTGGGAGGCAGTAACTGCCAGCTTCCTAAAGGACCCATGTACCCTGTGATAGGATGTGCCAGTGTCCTGGAAGGAGACTCAGAAGGTGACTGCTGGATGTCAGGTCTAGCTTGGTCCGGTGGAGCCAACTCTGACAACACAGTTTAGAGGTGAGACTCCTTGGCTCTGGTGCTCACAGGTCCATCTTAGGGCCACCCCTGGATGGCCAGGTCCTGGGAGGTCCCTGCCCAAGGGTGTATACAGTGTAGTTATAAGCAAAGCCACTATGGACATCAGTGCTGCGGGAAGACCTGCCTTCCAGCTGTGGTCCACAGTGCCATGACCCCCAGTTCTGAAAGCCTGGGGCGGATGTAGGTAAACTCAGACTCAGTCTTTATGTGGTTTTCAGCTCTCAAGCCCCAGCCACAGAGCCAGTTTCCCCATCTTCTGGACCAAGAATGGGATGGCACATGTGGGTTCCCCAACAGAGCCTGTTCCAGGCTGCATAGCTCCTCATGCCCTTGCTGCTGAAGCTCTTGGCTGGTGTGGGCAGTACCACCACAGTGTAGGTGCTCAGTCAGAGAAGAAACAGCAATAGGTCACGGCTGTCTCTGTCTACCCCTCACACACACGTATCAGCTTCTGTTGGCTCTGAGAAGTGAGCCGCAAGGGTGCAACTGCACAAATTTCATCCTTGGAGAAGGAACCCAGGAGAAGGGCAAGTTCAAGGGTCAGGGAACAAGGAAAGTTCTGATGATGTAAACCAACTGCCCAAGAAAAAGGGTCTGGCCCCCACACCAGTCAGGCTCAGGGAGGGCATTTGCTCCTGCTGTTGCACGGCCCAGAGGGCAAGGCTTTGGCTGAGACCAGGGACCCTGGGAGGAGGTGCAGAGGGGCTTGGGTACCACTGCACAAGGGTGGAGCCAACCCTCACGTCTGGGCCAGCGAAAGCTCTTCAAGGCCTCCCTTCCCTAGGCGGTATCTTGCCAGGTCCTTCCTGGTCACCAGGCCGACCACCTGCAGAAACAACATTAGAGCACTTCTGCTCCATATGATGGCATACTCTATATACCAGTGCTAAGTAGGTGTGCAACAACAGTCTAAGTCCCAAGGCTTACTGTCCTGTGACAGACAAGACCCAATGTCCACCCACAACCTAGCAGGGACACACGAAGCAGAGTGTGAGCCAGCTCCAGCACTCTCCAGCAGGACAGAAGCAGCCTCACCTGATTGTGGTTATCTACTACCACCAGGTGCCTCAGGCCCAGAGCCCGGAACAACTTGAACACTCGAGGAAGAGACGCCTCCTGCAAGGTAATCAATTGCCTTTAGCCCACTTCACCCCACTGTAGAAAGAGATTCAACTCCCAAACCAGGCATTTCCAGGGTCCTGAGCTGTCCCTTTCCCTCCGTCCCTGACCACAAGCCTCTACATGCTGCTAGTGGGGTTCTCAAGGCTCACTGCTATTTGAAGCCCAAATTCTCCCAGGCTTTGGTCAGATGGTCCATCTCAGGCAGCAAGCTCCACTTGCATCATCCCTGAAGGCCTCCTCTCTACCTGGCAGCAGTTACTCCACAAGATTCCAGAAGCTCCTTACCACCTTTTCAAAGTGCACAAGGCATCTAGCTTGGGCCCTGGAGGTCATCCATACACCACGGGCCTGCCCCCAACACCTTTGGGTCATTAAGTACCTGGGGCACTGTGTAGGGAGAGGGGTTCATGAATTCAGAAAGGTCCATAGTGCACTCCCGCTCATCCTGGGATACATGGATGGACTGGATTGGAGGGAAGCGAGGGTAGGCGTCACGGAAGTCCTTCAGCCTCAGTCGCCGCTGCACCAGACCCATGTTGGACCTTTCCACAAACACCTGCAGGCAGCAGTCAGTTGTGTATCCGTCACTGTGAAGGACAGTGCCCAGGACGCGCCCACCCATGGACTGCTGCACATACCTTGTGCTTCAGGAGCACGATGAGCTGGGAGCGCAGGATCAAGCCTTGGAGCCTGGCTGGCTGCAGGAGAGGAAACAGAGGCCTTGAGACTGCAGTGGGAAAATCTGGTCAGATTCCCCACTGGCCCATAGTTGCTGTTTAACAGTCACCTCTAAGCACAGGCCTTGAAGTGGGTATCTCTCACATATAATCCTGCTAGTCCCTAAAGTATCTGAGACAGGGCTAACCCTGTCTGCAGAGCATGGAAGCCAGCTGCTGAGAATGGAATCAACAGGTAGCAAGACATAAGCCAAGTCTATTTCTTACATTTCTTTCAGGCCACTAGGGCTAATGTCCAACACATCCCAGCAGAATAAGAACTGGGCAAGGGGTAAACATTAGCTGGGTTCACATCTCATTGGCACCTCCTGATAGACATCACAACACCATGACTTAGAAGTCCAGTTCAGTCACAACTGCACAAGGCTGTACTGTGGGGACAGGCCAGCTAAGAGAAGAATTTTACTTTATGTGCAACACAGGATTTCCTGTTCATGGGCTGGAGAAATGGATCAGTGGTTAAGGTCCCTTGCAGAGGACCTTGGCTTGATTCTAAACACCTACTCGGTAGCTCACAAACATCTGTAATGCCAATTCCAAGGGGATCTAATGCCCTTTTATACATGCAGGCAAAACACATAAATAGGATAAAAATAAATCTTTTTTTTAAAGGTATCTTGTTCAGATGAACTACATGAGGAACATCCCCAATATAAGTTGCTCACAGGCACAAAATAAAAAGGAATTTATACTCCTAAATAGGTGCCCACGGGCCGGGCGGTGGTGGCGCACACCTTTAATCCCAGCACTCGGGAGGCAGAGGCAGGCGGATCTCTGTGAGTTCGAGGCTGGGCTGGACTGACAGCCTCCAAAACAATACAGAGAAACCCTGTCTCGTAAAAAACCAAAAAAAAAAAAAAAAAAAAAAAAAAAAAGTGCCCACGGTACCTGAGTATCTCCCACATCCTCCACCACGGGGAACCCATTGTGATTGGATGCTGTGTCACTTAGGATGTCCACGATGATGCCAACCTTCTCTCTCCGTCTCAGGCAGGTCACAGGTGTGCTCATTACTTCCCTGCCAAGAGGCCCAATCCAAGGATACTATCTCAATGACACTCATACGACATACTGTCAAGGGACTTCCTTAAGAACTCTTGTACAATGTTAACACTAGACAGACATGAAGCTGTCAGACTTGGAACCCCAAGAACCCCATTTCCATGCTATAAACTTAACCAGGCACTGGGAGACCAGTCATGGGCCAGCGACAGTGGGACACTGGTACCTGGGCTCTCCACAGGCATTCAGTGTTTTCCCTGTACACATCCACCCACAGCACCCAGGAACCTGAGAGCTTAGCAGGCCAGCTGGCCATACCTGGCAGTGAGCGAGTGTGAGGTGACCGGGGCCTCCCAGTGCAGGAAGGGCACACTTTGCAGCTGGATGTGCATGTCATAGAGGCCCTGGGTACAGAGTCATGATTCAGGACACTGCCCATGGGTCCTTAAGGCACATTACCTCCCTCAGGGCCCCACCATTGCCAGGTTCCTGAAGGATATAGGGAGTGGCTCAATGGGCCTCTTCCTTGTGCAGCTGCTGCAGGCCCCTCAAACCCCAGTGTTAGGCTACAAGGTCAGCATCCAGGGTAAGCAGAGGACAAACCATCCCCTTCATGCTGCATACCTCAATGAAGACATCGCCCACAATCTTAGCAGTCATCAGCACCAGCATGATGGGAAAGCCGTAGGTCACATTGCTGGTGGCCTCCATCATGATGACTGTCAGGCTAAGAGTCATTCTCACGATCCCACCTGTAGGGATAGTCATAAGTCCCTATCCCTCTAAACACAGGATCCCCAGCTCTGCTATGTCTACCGTCTTTTTACCCACACATCTTTCCAGACCCCAGAAGCAAGGATGGTTACTATCGGGCCCTGATGATTGCCATCTGGCTATGCTATGGGGCTGATGACCTCACCTGCTTCACTTTCTATTTTGCTCACATGAATGGCAAAGGCCAGCCTTGGTGGAACTCATCATGGGTGGGCAGGATACAAGTGAGACCCACTCACCAAACAGGGCAAGAGCTGGAGCTTACCAAGCTGAGCAGCGGCTCCCATCAGGGCGTATTTACCCGGGTCTGCCCAGATCTGTGGGAGGCAACGTGGCTGAGTATCAGAGGCAGTGGCAATCCTTACCCAAATCTGCCAGGGCATACCAATGAAGATGCTATAATTGATCCACATATAGGAGTGAGTTTCATGGCTCACATGCAGAACATTCTACTCCAGTGCTCTCTGTTACAACCTGTATGCTAACACTAGCTAGGTGTGCCTTGTATAGGGACAGGTATGCAAACTCTATCTACCACCTGCCCACACCCATGAATTCAGAAGGTTGTACTTGCTTTGTGCTGAGGAACCTACATGAAGGACGACAGAAGGGCAAAAGCATGCACAAGGTGCCACTGCCAACGTGACACACTGGTCACCCAAGAAAAGACATTCAGTTGTGCAAAAATGATTCTAGGGCCAGGCAGTGGTGGCGCACACCTTTAATCCCAGCACTCGAGAGGCAGAGGCAGGCGGATCTCTGTGAGTTTGAGACCAACCTGGTCTACAAGGGCTAGTTCCAGGACAGCCTCCAGAACCACAGAGAAACCCTGTCTTGAAAAACAAAAACAACAACAAAAAGACTCTAGGACACACTACAACAGAGATGAACCAAGCAGACATCATACTCAGTTAGAGACCAGAGACATAAGAGGGTGTATACTGTTGCCCTAGGAAATGTTGGCAATAGATGAGCCTAGAGACAGCAAGGAAGCTAGAGGCCACTAGACAGTGGGAGGAAAACGGGAACAACTCTAGGCGGAGAAGGAGCTCTGGAGCTGGAAGTGAGGGTTGCACAATGCTAAGCATCTAATAAAGTCACTGAACTGTTTATGTTCAAAGCAATCATTCTTAACAATCACATCTCAGAAGACAGGAGATCTAGACAGATTCCGGAGTCTGAGGACAGGGCAGGGGCAGATATAGGCTTCCTGTTGTTATCCCTTCTGTAATTTGTCCATTTTATTCAAATGACTTAACTGAGCAAACACACACAGATTAAAACCCCAAGTTCCACCAGCAGTTGTGAGAGGAAGTGCTAAGAGACCTACATGCAGGTCAGCGCTAGATGGACCCGGGCTCCTTTCCCCTTTGTTACATTCTCTCTCATCTACCCAACGTGTCTCCACAGTTATGTGACACAGTTACTTGATAGTGTTAGAACTTTTGTCTACCTGCACTAGGTACACTGATCTCCCCGGTTGTGGCCCCTAGGGTCACCAGAGCACTTGAGCTGTGGAGATCTGGCATGCTTCCCCCAACTCACCGCTGCCCCTGTGAGGTAGGACAGGGAGATGCCAAAGAGTCGGCCCCAGGCAGCTCCAATGAGCAGAGATGGGATGAAGACACCAGCAGATACTGTGAGGCCATAGGTCCAGCAGGCCAGGAAGAAGTAGACCAGGGTGAACAGGCCTAGTGTCAAAGGGTTGTAGGAGCCTAGGGAAAAAGAAGGCCATTGAGCTGTAGCTGGAACTCAAGCCTGCACAGGGATGTCCTGCCTGTCATGTGCATCCACTCTGAGAACCAGACCACCAGAGCCCATTCCCAGTGGTCTGCATTCTCAGCTGCCCCAGGTGAAGGGTAGGTCCCCAGAGGCAGAAGTAGTGATGGTGAGAAGTGCAGCAGGGTTCACCCAGGCCCCATGTCAGCACCAAACTCCCCACAACAGCTGACGTGCCCGGCCCCAGGTGGAGGCCCTTGTCTGGGAGAAAGAGGAAGCCCGTGCTCCTGAGAGCAGCAGCAGACTCCCAGCTCAGCTGGACTCACACCTGGTGTGACTTCACACAAGGCAGCTGCACTAGGACACCTTCCCTGAGCCTGAGCCTGGTCTGAACCTGGGAGCCCTGTAACAACAGTTCAGGGAAAACACCAGAGGTGAGAGGTGACCAAGACATGTCCTGTTTGGCCCCAAACCACTCTGGGCTACTGTAATTCAGTGGTCAAACTCCAAGACCTGGGAGGTATGTCCTCCCTAGACAAATGCTGAGGTTATATTTGTGGGTGAGAAACCAGAGAAGTAAGGCCAAATAGAGAGGAACCAAGAACCACAGTGGCCTACGTGAAGGCCAGGGTGGGGGAAAGCGTCATCAATCTGTGTGGATAAGAGAGAGCATCATGGCACAGATTACTGAGGTTAATGGGGCAGGTCAGTAAGGGCAGAGATCCATGTGAAAGGCCACTGGCTTATTCTCTGCCAAATTTATCCATTAGCTTTCATGAACCTTTCCTATGGACAGTCCCCCAAACAGGGAAGTCCCCAGTAGCCTTATGACAGGAAACAATTGTAAACACTTGTCCCCCAGGGTAGGGTGGATGGCATGGTTAACTTTAGTTGTCAACTTGATACATTTGTGAAGAGGGAACTAAGGAATTGCCTCCATCAGACTGGCCTGTGGGCATGTTTGTGGGAGTATTTTCTTGATTGCTAATTGATGTAGAGGATCCAACATACTGTGGGCAGAGCTATCCCTAGGTGTGTGCGCCAGGCCTGTATGAAGAAGGGAGCTGAGCAAGCAAAAGGCAGTGTTCCTCCATGGTCTTTGCTTCAGTTTCTGCCTCAGCTTCCCTCAAAGATGGACTGTAATCTGTAAGCTAAATAAACCCATTCCTTCACAAGTTGGTTTGGTCACTATTTTACCACTGACAGCAACAGAATGCAAACTAAAACAGAAGGGGAGGAGCCTGAGATGCAGGCCTAAGGCTGCTCAGCTCTGCATTGCTGTAGGGCTTGGCTGAGCCCAGAAAGGTCTGGGTATGGAGTCACCAGGCTTGGTTTTCTTCTGGAGAGAGAGAGAGAGGTGACTCAGATGACTAGCCTTAGGAAGAAAGGAGAAGATGGGGAGCCCAGTCAGTCTCTCTCCAGGTGCTTGGCCACAAGGTACCCTACAGAACCATGCAAACCCATGTTCCCAACTCTGCAATGTTGGTTCCTGAACTCCAGTACACCTCACCATACCAGAAGTGACTCCTCAGTCCAGGGCAGTGACCTCTGGGCCAAGAATTTACCCACTGTCCTTAAGTCCCAGCCATGCTGACTGCACATACCTGGGGGGTCATGGAAAAGGCTGACAACGCTCTTCTCTGGGGTGTTAAAGAAGGCTGCAGCCATGGAGTTGTACTCGCCATCTGCACAGAAGAGCTGCGGAGATGAGAGAAAGGACAGAGGGAGAGAAAGCCACAGGGAGGATTCTGTGCTGCTGCTGAGTGCTCCCATACCGAGTCTGGAGAGCACCAGACAGGATCTGGGTTCTGAACACAGAGCCCAAGTGTAAATTCAGTCAGGGCTTCAACGGTAGGACCATCTCTCTGGGAGAAGGAGATCCATCTGTCCCTGCTACCCGGAAAAAACAGGAACCTAGGAGCTTCATGAGCAATGCCTCGGAATCAAGAGTTGGACAACAGCCCTGAGAACCAGTAGGTCCAGACTCTCAGATGAGTGCCATATACTATATGGAGGGACACACCATTCCTTGGCCTAAGGAGAGAGGCAACTTTCGTTTGGGGACTCTTAAAAGCTGCTACAAGTATCCCTATAAGGTTTCTGTAAAATTACAGGTATGTACTTCTCTAATCTAAAACTCTCTCCAGGAGGTGTCTGGAAATGACTATGGTGAGATCAGTCTAGTACCACCACCCATTCCCCAGGCACCTGAAAGACAGCTTCAGATTACTTTGGGACCCTACAATACAGAGTCTAAGGCCTACGAGCATTGGTACCACTGAGAAACAGCATTCAGGAAAGCTGGTCCTGTTCATAGGGCCAGCCCAAGACCTATGCCTACCTGGAGTGGGTAGGACATGGAGCTCCCCCGCAGGGGTTGGCAATCTCGAGATGAGTAAATCAAGACGAATGCAACCGTGGCTGTGACAGCAGCCACCAGCATGGCCTCAATCACTTGGAGGCAGGGCCGGTGGATGTACCTAGAGACCAAAGCCAGGATGGACTTTGCTGCATAACCAAGAGTAGCCTTACCTGCCCTGCCCCTGGCAGTTGCCATGGCAACCTGACCCAGAACCCATTGAAGAGGGGGCAAAACAACATAGGTTTAATGATCAATGAGCCCAGACTCCTGGGGTTATCTTTCTCCTTATGGCTATGGACTTCTCAGTAATAATGCGCCCTGCTACCCCACCACAGCATCTTAGTCCAGTGAAAAACCAGAAAGACATTCAGTGTCTTCCCAAATTTGATTGCTTCTCTTCTAATAAAAGGGCTGGCACCCAAGGCAGAAGGTAGACAGTAGCTAACTCACCTAGAGCTTTGTTGTCCGTGACAAATTTTCTCTGCTAACTTTCACAGACCTTAGGACCTGAGGAATGTCTCTCTGGGAGGAGCACTCAGCCTCTGAAGCTCCTCCTGCCTCTCCCCCACTTCCACTGATTGTCCCTGTCCCCCAGGCCACACACCCTTGACCTGCCCTGAGAGCTAAGCAGGGTAGACCTTCAGAAAAGGACCCTCACTGACAAGGCCGCTACAATTTGTCCACTTCCTGCGCCCAGTAGAGCTGCACTGTCTATGTGGCGCACAAACTGGGATTCCTTCTCACCTGATCCGAAACATGGTTAGCCAGTAATTCAAGGCATTGAACACAGCTCCAAGAATGCCACCTGTGACCAGAAAAGAGACGAAAGTTAGTTTCACAGGGAGGACAGTCTTGGTGAGGGTGCACTGTCAGATGGCTCCCCAGGCGTCACCACTAAGACCACTCTGCCTTCCACTTAGCTTCTTACAGAGCAGTGTGAATTGAGCATGGGAGAAAAAAAATTCTGGGAGGAAATAAAAAGGAAATCTGAATCACCTCAGACCCTGAACATTTTGGGCAAGGAGTCCTCACTCTGTAAATGTTGTAAAGTTCTGCTTGCTCCCAAGGGAATCTCATTCCAAGTCTGAAGCTTTGCCACAGTAGAATTAAAGCTCTGGGGTCTTTCTGAGTTGCCCACCCCTGCATGAATCTTCATAAGATCCCTATCAGGACAGTGCCTAGAGGTGAGGTGTGGCGATCTTCACAGCACCACTCTGGAATTGGGAGTCCATTCTCCCCAACATAGGTTGACTCTGGTCCATGCTACAGGGAGGGGCCCTTACCAACCACACCCATGGCGATGAAAACAGGAATCTCATGGATGGTGTAGGCCATTTTCTGTGCAGAGGGGGAAAAAGCAAAGATTTTGAGAAGTTGCTGCTTAAATGACAGGACTGAGCAGGAACTCTAGCTACAGGCACGGAGTCTTGTAGCACTATTGTACAGAATCAAAGAGGTTCCATAGGTCTTCTTTGCGCAGACCTTATGGCCGGCCCTTCAAGGCTGAGCTGGTGTGGGTGGCTTGTGGAGTCTGGCACTCTGGAGCCGTCTCACACTGCAGCTGTGGTATACTAAAAGCCCTGAGGGAGCAGATCCTTGTGCACACTACAGGGTCCTTGAACTGACAAGAATTCAACATCCCTACTAAGAACTAGATTTTCCCAAGCCATGTTCAAGTCTCAGCCAACAGTGTTCTGAGGTGGCACCAGAAAGGGCAAGGTGGGATAATGTGGCTGGCAAATTACCTCTGAGTCAAATCTTCCAAAATTTATGAGGCCTGGGCTGGACAGGTCCCACATGTTTCCATGGTAGATGCTCAGAACAAAATTCAGGGTAAAGGTGGAAATCATGGAAGCAAAGAACTGTGGCAAAGAGAAATCAGAGCCTTAGAGACCTGCCTGATGCACCTAGAACCCTCAGAGCCCTGCCCAGCCCACTTAGTACTCAATGTCCTCAGAGTTCTACCTGGCCCACCCGAAACCCTCAAAGCTACATTTGGCCCACCTAGGCTCCAAGAGCTATATACAACACTTTCATCTGAATGCCAGAGCCAGACATGGAGATTGGGACTTCTGGTCATTTGGAAAGTTGTGTGTCTGGATAGCTCATCTACGACAAAAGGAAGGGGACTGGAGTCAAGTGTGGCTGGGTCTACTGGTTGGCTGGGCAAAGGTGGCATTGCTGCTCTATAGACAAGCTAATGAAAGATATAAGAGAAGGTAGTGTTTTTGAGGTTTCCAGCACCAAGAACACCTGGCACAGGTATGGAGCTACTGGACCCACTGGGGGATTCTACAATACAAAGGATGGACTGACTATGAAGAGTTCTCAAGGGAGAGAAGCACGATTGCCTTCCTCAGGAACTTACAATTCTCCACGTCAGGAACTGATTCCAGAAGGATGCACCTTCCTCCAGGCTGAACAGGACCCCACCTAGAAGGCAAGCGGCAGGACTAAAGTGTCACCTGAGCCACAGCAGTCTACTCACTGCCAGTGTCCAACACAGGTCCCAGTTGGTGGCTATAAGGCACTGCCCATACCCTCGCCTGGCACTTGTCTACAAACATCAGAACTATGCCTACAATAAAGACTTGCTTCCCCATCGGGGCCAGCCATAGTCAGAGATGAGGTGGAACTGACTCCTCCTTACCTACAGGGGCTCCAAATGCAGCAGACACTCCTGCTGCAGCTCCAGCTGAGACAAAGTCCCGCTTCTCTGTGTCTCTGCGGAAGTATTCAAAGATCTGAAAGAGAAAGATGGAAGGTATTAGGGAGAAAAGTTGGAAACAGGTCCCACCAAAGGGACCAAAGAAGAGATGTATAATAATCACATTATAATCGTAGCAGTAGCCACTGGATTCAGAGAACAATATGACATAGTGAAGAAAACAGGAAGGCTGGGGGTGCCCAAGTACCCACAGCTGAGAGTATAACCACAGGATTCCATTTGTGACAGTGACTTAACTTCTCCATACATGAAAGAATCTATGAACTTCTTATTCCAGCTCTACCTTAGTAACTGGAGAAAATCCAATGAGTGGAAAAACCTAAACTTATTCTTGATTTTATCAAGGATTGTTCAGTCAGGCTTGGTGGTACATCCTTGCCATCTCAGTTCCCAGAAGTCTCGAGACAGAATCCTAAGTTCAAGGCCATCCTGGGTTACACAGTCACTGTTTCAAAAGATGGGTATAGACTTATCAACATAGAAGTTTAGTATAATGCCCATCTTATTGCTGTTAACAGTGAGAAACATGACAAAATTATACCATGAATCTGAGTAGCCATTTAAAGCTCTGACCTCCCTCAAGTGACTGTTCCTCTGAGAAGCTGGTCAGAACCACAGATCCTTTTCAACACAATCACACTAGCATAAAACACCAGAATCCTAGGGATTGACCATGGAGAAGTCACATGGTCTGTAACCACCTGGACTGGGAGCAGGCCAGCTTGTCCTTAGAATCAGCAATGGATGTTGAGGGAGACCCGGAGATCTAGAGAAGACTGCACAGGCAGAAGACCAGTGGAGACACACCCATGACTCCCCAGTCCACATGTGTGTGTGGAAGAACTCACCTTGAAATCTCGCTTGAGTGATGTTGACCTTCCCTGAGAAATCCCAGCAGCAATCACCGAACCTGAGTGGATCATTGGCCCTTCCTGGGAGCACAAAGCAATCAGTACTGAGAGGTCATGCTTGGGCCTTGGTGTCCTCCCAAAGACAGAAACTCAGACTCAGGAGGGACCAGTATCATTCATTCTGTTGTTACCTTTCCCACAGCTAGTCCCCCTACCACAGACAGAATCACACCGGACACCTTGATCACCAGCGTCTGGAAACAAAGAAAATGCAGAGTTTGAATAAACATGCTGTACACATGCCTGAGCCCCAGAGGCTCAAGAAAAGCCAGCACTGCTGATGAGCGCTCAGATGAGAACTCACACTTATCATCCACTCAGACTCAAACACTAGGGCAGCACCCAGGGCTCCTGTTCCACACCCCGCTGGAGAATCTAGAGTCAATATCCCTAGAGGGTCCTGAGGAAGGAGCTCAACCCTGCCTATGACTATGCCTTTGCTCTAGGCCCAGCACAGCTTTATCATGGAGACAACTACTAGCTGGGTCTGACAGCACGACCTCCATCTCATGAGCATACAGGTGTTTCCCCTGGAGACTTTAGGATCCACTCCATGGACACCCCAGTATTCCTCCCCATGAAGGTGGGGGCTGAGGGACTATGACTCCCCTGAACTGCATGAGCCTGATGGGTGCTCAGGGCAGTCAAGGGTGAGCAGAACTCTAACTCTGTCACATAGGCCCATTAACAATAAAAAACATAACAACTTATACATGCCTCTCTGGTACAGGGAGGAGGGGCCACTGGGAGGGACATCATGTTCAGGGCAGGTTCTGAGGAAGCCTCCTAAATCTAGTCTGTTAGTCAAAGATATTTAGCAAAATGTTCCAGAGTTCCACAAAGTCTAGTATGGGTAACAGTTAGTGCTATGTCCAGAAGCATCACGTCTACCCTATTATATGGCAAAGTAGCAGCACAGGTCTCTTGCTTTCCAGAGTGTGACCACACTGCCTTTCCTTGGCTATAAGGCATGAGGCCTGGGAGCACTCCAGAGAGGCCATGGATTATCAGGGAAGGGAGTACATCAAAGGAGGCCAATGCACACCTGCCTTCTTCGATAGGGACAGGAGGCAGTGTCTGGCCAGACTTGGGCAGAAAGGCTAGTCATGCAAAAACAACCAATAATAAGCAGACTGTGTAGACAACTGCTCAGTCCCTGTGGCATTAGTAACTCACTTGTGGAAAACGTTATAACTAGAAAAATGCTGGTAATACTATACAATACAACTATGAGAGGAAACTTTGAAAATAGGGAGAGAAAGGCAGGCCATCTCCCACCCTAGTTTAGTCCCTCTGGCTCTGAAATACTCAGGGCCACACAGTCCTGAATTACATACATGTACTGCATGACTGCAATCACAACACTCATATTCCTGCACTACTTACTAAAGACAAGGACCAGTTTTTGCTACTTTCAGATGTACAATCTGCTGCTGTGAGCACACACAACAGCTGGTGTGTGCACAGCTTGTACCAGGTATGGAGGGTCAAGCAAAGACAGACTTAATTAAACAAGCAGAAATCCTACGCCCTGCCCCATATCACACCTCACCTTAAGTCGCACCACGTGAGGGATCTTCACCCCATTGAGGAAGCACTTGATCTGGGGAATTCCGCTGCCAGCAGCAACTGGCTGGAAAGACAGAGGTGCCACTGAGCAGGTGGAGTAAGGGGTGCAGCCTCTACAACCACAAGAAACACGGGGGCAGGTGTGGAGAAGGGCTTCATGTCAGGGAAGTAGAGGTCCCTCCCTAACCCAGCCCAGAATGGAATGGCCCCTAAGAGAAAACCTGGTTGGCATGTGTAAGGGCCGAGGATAGAGTCTGGTGGTCACGTATCCCCAAGTGAGTTAGGGAAAGATGGACAACACTCATTGTGTACCAAGCAGGAACTAGAACTTCTTGATATATGGGACAGCTGCTTGCTCTATAGCCACATAGAAGATTCTGGATGTTGTCTGTTCCTTCTTTTATCACTCCACCAAAAGGAAAAGGAGCATAGAGAGACCTAGAGAAGGGAGGACTCCAGGGGAGCCTTGCAATAAAGATGCATTTTGGAGGGGTTATCTGTGGGATGGGAGTAGTCTCCTTGGAGAATGGCTGGTCCTGCTGCCCCTCTGCTTGGATACTTGCATGAGTTGTCCAAACTCCTGAGAACTTGCATGCCCTAGAATACCCCATTGTCTAGCTATGAAAAGACCCTGAAAGACCTAGCTCTAACTATATGTGAGTATGGGGTAGATATAGTGTATCTATGGTCTGGGTATGAATTGGGTGGCCAAGGGATGAGGTGTGGGTTCTACTGTTGGGTTAAATATGGTACCACTAGGAGTCAAGCTGAGGAAGCCCCAGTGTCTCTTCTGTTATGACTGAATATTTCCCATCTGTACCACACTGTGGTTCTCTCTGGCAGAAAGCCTCCAACCTCACAAGCTAACAGGGCCCAGGGTGGGTAAGTCAGAGGGGCCCATCCATTCACCGAGACACACACAGTGGCTTTACCTCTATGAAGGCCACAATCACAGACCCCACGAGCACGAAGGCAGAGTTCAGCGTGGCCCACAGCAGAAGGGAGAAAGACAGACCGCCCTTCTCGGTGAACTTGTCAATGTCTCAGGGATTGTCAAGGACAGGAACTGCTACACTGGAACACACACCTGCCTTGCTTGTCTCACTATTATGGCAGTCTATCTGGCCCATATCATTTCATGACCTGGGCCAGCACAACTACTGACTAGCAAGCAAGCCATGGTGCTAAGTAGACAACTTGGAGACACCTCATAGTCTGACTATGACTATACCACCCGTATGCTGAGCTGTGTGCGTGTATGGCAGGTGTTAGTCTCTATGGAGCCAGGCCTGCTCTATTTTACTGCCTGTCTGTGAAGGCACATGCTTGGGTTCTGCTACTGAACCCTCACCCCAGGTGCCCCATGCTGAGTGTCTCTGGAGGATACTGTCCTTGATGACTTTGTACTTGAGACCGGCCAGGTTCTCCACTACAATATCAATGAAGCAGGCTACCAGGCCTGTAAGGATTCCAATGAGGGCACAGATAACCCATCGCTTGATCTCCACCGTCCGGAAAGCCTAGATAGGGATGGGAAACATGGTGCAGTCAAAGGCAAGCAGTGCAGCTAGGCTCTTGCTGTGCACTGCTCTGGTGTTGGCAGATTCAAGGGCGGCTACCACACACAGTACAAAGTTCAGCTCTCAGCCTAAATCTGCTAACAGCAGCCTCCAACAAATGTTTCAATGACCACTGAGGGCCACAGGAAGTCACAAGGAGGTAAATCATATTCCCTATAAATTCACCACTAGCTACTAACATTTGAGGCACTGTCTGCCATCTGCAGAAGAGCTTTATTGACCATGATGATTTTAGCCGTTCCCTTGCAGTTTCCAGTATCTGGGGGCCAGGTGTCACATGTTCAGAGCCCCACCCTCCACACACAAACCACGAAACTGTGGCGGTAGAACCCACAGGCTCGGGGGAGAAAAGGGAAGGGGATAGAACAGGGATACTGCCTGGCCCAATATGCCAGCACCCAGGCAAACAAGCCACAAGCCCAATCTGCTCACCGTGTGGTTGATTCGTCTCTCCTCTTCCAGAAAGAGCTGGTTCTCGCTATTGTCATAGTCCAGGCTCTGCACAGACCAGGGTACAAGGTACTTGATTACTGACCCAGGGACCAGAGTGCAAGTATAGCCAGGAGACAGGGAAGAGGGCTGGAAAGGGTAGGGTTTGAGCTCAGTCAAGGAGGATGGGGAACCCACCTCATACTTGAGGGAGAGGAGCTTCTCATTGTGTGGAATTTCCTTGGGGAAGGTGTGAGGAGGGTCCACTTCCTGTATGAGAAAAAAAGCAGCATGCTCTTTAAGAATAAAAACAAGGAGAAGAAAAGGGACTGAGTCTCAAATCCCATAGTTCAGCATGATCTGACACCCAAGACTGGGAAGTCACAAGAAACCTACAAACTACCATTCCCTGAGCTATGGAGACAAAAGTCCTCCAATGGGGTACTGCAAACACCATAGCTTTGTTTCAGGAGTACAATGTTATTTTAACACCCTAAAAATCAACTGATTTCAGAACAAAGGTCTACAGACCATCCTTCTTTATTTTATAGATAGATACATATAGTTTGTTTTGTTTTTAGATTGGGTTTCTCTGTGTAGCCCTGGCTGTTCTTGAACTCACAGATCCACCTGCCTCTGCCTCTCAAGTGGTGGGATTAAAGGTATGTGTCACCACTGCCAGGCTACAGACCACCTTTTAAATATAGAAAAAAGGGTTATAAATACTCAATAAAGCTGGGTGTAGTGGGGCACATCAAGAATCCTAGCACCTAGGAAGCAGAATCAAGAGGATTGGAAATTCAGGGTCAACTTGGGTTATGTAGCAAGGCAAATAAATGAATAAATAACAGTAAAAACAGATGCAGCTAAGTGACAGAGGGCTTGCCTAGCAGACACAGGCTCTAGGTTTTATCCCGAAGTCTAAAATAACAAAAGCACTAAAGAGACAAAATAAGGGTCTGGAGAAGTGATCAGGGGTTGAGTGTTTGCTTTAGCAGAAGACCCAAGTTTGGTTTCTGGGTATTCATATCATACGGCTTAGAGAAGCCTGTAACTCCTGCTCCAGGGAAAGCCAACGGCCTCTGGCCTCAAGGACAGCTACACTCAGTCATGTGAGAACAACACTGCATCAAATTCCAGGGGAGAGAGATGGCTCAGGAAACATCCCCATGTTTGTTTGTTTTTCAAGATTTACTCTTTATTATGTGCATGCATGTGTGTGCCTATGTGTTGTCATGTGCACGTGAGTACAGGTACTTGTGGAGGTCAAAAGAGGGTGCTGGATCCCGGGGAGCTGGAAGTACAGGCAGCTGTGGGCTATCTGACATGGACACTGGGATCTGAGCTCTGGTCCTCAGTAAGAGCACTATGCTCTCCTAGTCCCTGGAGAACTTGTTTTGGGGATGCCAGAATCCATCCCATGGATCTCTCTGAGATCATCTCTCTGGACATCCTCACACTAAGCTTGCACCTACTCTGCGCTTCATCGCCTCTCCAGCACAGGCTTCCGCCACCTCTTCACACCTGAAGCTGCCGGCCACTTGGCCTCAGAGATCACATCCATATTCTGTATGGGAGCCCTGCTACCTGCTGACCATGCCACTCCACTTTCCTTCACTAAGGTCAGCTCAGTGGGAACAGGGAACATCACACCACTCACTGGGTCCAGAAGCTCATCATCCAGCTCCACGTTGTTCATCTGTCCAATTCGGAAAAATGCAGAGTGAGACTGAAAACAGAGAGGCATGAGGGCACCAGATGAGCGAGGTAGAACAATACTCATTCTAATTCCCACCCTCACATCCTGCCCTCCTGGGTGTTAGAACCCAGGTCTGCTCTTGACATGAACACTCTGCCCCTGAGAAGGCTAGCATGGGACAGAAAGCCCAGTTTCCCCCACCTTAGTACACCACCCTGTCTGTTCCATTATGAAAGGAAACATGACCATGCACCAGGGCCAAGGGCTGTAGGACGTGTCCAAGCAAGTCAGTGTCCACAGTCATGAAGTGATGGTTCCTCCTCTGCCTACCGCCTCTACAAAGTCTAGTCTAGTTTCTCTAGGCCTCTATCTGCTTCAAGCAGCTAATGCAGCCCTCCCAAGCAGAAGCTGTAACAGAGTTGAGTGGGCCCGAGGTGTAGAAGTCCTTGTAGAGGTGCAGCTTGGTGCAGCCAGTGCCCTTTCTTAGGACACTTTCCTGATTGTGAGCCTCCCAACCTGGCTAAATTCACACCTGCCCAGTAAGGGGTAGGTGGAAAAGTTGTGGGGAGGGTGGTACCTATGCCCAATTTCCTGGATGTTTACCAAAATGCTGGTAAAGGGGGCTACAATGAAGGCCAACTTATGAGCTGGGCAGGAGCCATGTGGCCCTCCATTCACTGTGTTAGAAAGCAAAGTAGCTATCTATGATGGAAACCAAGTATGAAGACAGAGGGCGCCCCAAGGACTGCCCATCAGCTTATGTACTGGAATTGTCCCTGGAGCTATCTTCTGGAAACACTGAGGCAGCTGCTTGCCTAGCCTCAGTGTTTCCTGTATCCTTCCTGTTCCCAAGACTCTTATCAAGGTTCATTGGGACCCCAAGCATTTACATTTTTATTATTGTTGTTACTACTACTGCTACTATTGCTTTCTTCAGACAGTGTTTCTCTATGTAGTCCTGGCTGTCCTGGAACCTACTCTGTAGACGAGACTGGTCTTGCTCCCTCCAGAGGCTCCAGGGAAATCCTTCCTACTCCTTGGATTCTAGATGGCTCCAGCCTCTGTCAGTCCCACAGGGCCGTTCCAGGATGACTTCACTTTAGTGACACTTGCAAAGATTTTGTTTCCACACGAGGTCCTACTCATAGGTATCATGGTTAGAATGTGGACATATCTTTGGGAGGGAATCAGTATTTACATTAGCTCTGGCTGTCCTGGAACTCACTCTGTAGATCAGACTGGCCTCAAACTCACTTGCCTCTGCCTCCTAAGTGCTGAGATTGAAGTTGTGCTACACCACAATGTCAATGTGATTTCCAGAGTGTGGTTCACACTGAAATCATGAAGGACTGTGCATGTATATGGCAGTACAAGTATCAACAACAAAGTGTGCATGTTTTTCTTCAAAAGTCTTTTTTTGTTTGCTTGTTTTCGAGACAGGGTTTCTCTGTATTGTTTTGGAGGCTGTCCTGGAACTCACTCTGTAGACCAGGCTGGCCTCAAACTCACAGAGATCCACCTGCCTATGCCTCCCGAGTACTGGGATTAAAGGCTTGCGCCACCAATGCCCGGCATCTTCAAAAGTTCTGGAGCTGCTGGTTGTAGTGTACACACTGGTAAGATTTGCTGAAAGAGGCAGAGACAGAAGACAAGAGGCCAGCCTGGGTTACACATTTTGGGGGCTGGAGAGATGGTTCATTGGTTAAGTGTATGACTGCTGTTCCAGAGGACCCGAGTTCAATTTCCAGCACCCATGAGGCAGCTTACAAGTGTCTGTAACTCCAGGTTCAGGAGATCTGACACTTTCATATAGATACACAGGCAGACAAAATACCAACACACATAGAAGTTTCAGGACAAACAGTATCCTAAACTGCTAAGCTCAGGAAAAGGGTAGGTATGTTCCATAGCCTGTTGGCCAGTGTGTGCTGGCCCAGAAAGGAAGCTGTTGCACACAGGTGAACCCTTCTCAAGAGGAGCTTCAGTGCTGTCACAGCCTCCCAGTCAACTTGTACACAGAGGTGCATATGGCAGGCATTGTACCTGTCCTGAATCCGTAAGACTCCTGATGTGAACTCCATTCACCCCCTCAGGGAAATTGCCCTAAGTGCTGAGTGACCAGGCAGAAGACATAAGGACAATGAAGTAGGGGCTGAGGGGCACAGGAGAGAGAAGGGGAGGTGGCCAGTCTATTTTATCTAGATGAGTTAGACAAGCCAAAGGCCATCAACAATTGTTTCACTATACCACGGGTGCCAAGAGTCAGAACCACCAGGCCTAAGAAAATGAACCCTCAACAGTTTAAGAGGATAATGGGAGAGGTGCTGGCTATGTGTCACATGACAGCACTTGCTTACATGATATCCTTGACCCCAGTGGTGAGCAGTGGCCCAACCATGTGAAAGAAGTAGCAAGCAGGATCCCAATCAGGTGAAGGCTGACAGAGCAATCCACAGACCACAGAGGGTACAGGTGCCTGGTCCCCCTTGCAGAGGGCTTAGAGTTGTGCGTGACTAAGGAAGTGGAATGACAGAGGTTTCCAAGGATCTAGACACTGCACAGCCAGCAAACTCAGTGCTCTGGTACTGAGCTACAATTACTCAACACAACACCCTGGAAGGAACTGCATGAGAACACAGGCCTGCTCAGGACTAGTTGTGCAACTTCTGGAACTCTATAATTATTTCAGAGTTACATAAAACAAAATTTCCCACACATCAAAAGACTGAAAAGGTAACTTTCAAAACAGAACATAAATGCAAATCACAGCACTTGAGAATGCCTGACTGGCAGAAAACAACAAATTACTCACACACATATAAAAAAAGGTGACACAAGTAAAGCTCTGAGCTGAATGGGCATACGTGCACATGTGTACATACGTACATATATACATGCAGGCCAGTCTGGTCTACATAGTGTGTTCCAGGCCTGTCAGAGCTATAATCTGCCTCTGCTCCCTCCCCATCCACCAGAAGTTCAAGGTCATGCTCAACTGCAAAGCTGTTTGAGGCCAGCCTCCCTAGTGTGGTTATATAGTGACCAGTCCCCCATTTTAGCAGCCATTACAGGCTAACATGTGCTTGCATGACCTTGCCGTTCATGGTCACTAAGGTCAGATACCTTCCTCATGGCAAGGAGCCAATCAGAAGTTAGCTGGTAGGGCTGTGCTTTACGACTCTGGGTGTGTTTTATGGACAGTGCACTACAGTGATGTACAGAGCATAGCAAAAGTCTTGAGAGGGCCTATGGGCCATAACAACCAGTTGACCAATCAACACAGGGCTGGTCACCCAAACCTGGAAGTGCACCAATCCTGAGACTGTTTCATACCCCTAGACACTCCCCTTACGCTGCCCTTTAAGATCCCTGCCTTGAGGTTGCTTGGGGTCTTTCTCCAGCCATTCGCCATGGTGGCAGGGTGATGGGCCCGAGCTAATGGGGTTAGCTCCTTAAACATCTGCAATAAAAGTCTCTTTGTTTTTGCATCGAAATAAGCCTCTTGGTGATTTTGGGATTCAGAATCTGGGCACAACAGTTACATCCATAAAGTCAGAGAATAACAGGTGGTGGCCGGGGGCTGAAGGAGGAAGAAAGGAAGAAAACTTTGGGTACAGTTTCAGTTTTACAAGATGAAAGAGTTCTAGAGACTCACTGGCCAACATTAAGAACATACCAGATGGAAGCTGGGTGGTAGTGCACACTTTTAATCCCAGCACTCAGGAGGCTGAGACAGGAGGATCTCTGTGAGCTGAGGCCAGTTCCAGGACAGCCAGGGCTACAGAGAGAAATCTGTCTCAAATAAAAAAACAAAACAAAAAAAAAATGTTTTAAGGCCGGGCGTTGGTGGTGCACGCCTTTAATCCCAGCACTCGGGAGGCAGAGGCAGGTGGATCTCTGTGAGTTCGAGACCAGCCTGGACTACCAAGCGAGTTCCAGGACAGCCTCCAAAGCCACAGAGAAACCCTGTCTCGAAAAACAAAACAAAACAAAAAATGTTTTAAAAAGAAAAGAAAAAGAATATACCAGGTGGGTGGTGCTACAACTGTTATGTGTAATGCTAGATACAGAGATTGGGGGAGGAGGATCAAAAATTAAAAGCCTGGGCTTCTCCTTCTGAGCCTGATGACTTGAGTTCAATCCCCTGAATCCATATGGTGGAGGGAAGACCCAACTCCAAGTTATCCTGATTTCCACACATTCACTATGGCATACATGTGCAGATACACATACTTTCAAAATAAATAAAAATAAAAAAAGTTACAGCTGGCCCCACATGAAAATTTCCCAGGTGGTAGCGGCACAAGTCTTTGAACCCAACACTTGGGAGGCAGAGGCAGGAAGATTTCTGAGTTTGAGTCTAGCCTGGTCTACACAGCAAGTTCCAGGACAGCTGGGGCTATATGGAGAAACTCTGTCTCAAAAAACAAAAACAAACAAAGAAAAAACAAACTAAAAGAAGTGGGCAGGGTAGAATACCTGCCTAGTATACAGGAAGCCTAGGGTTCAGTCTCCATTATGGGGTGGATGGCTAAGAATACTGTATGCCCTCCAAAACAATACAGAGAAACCCTGTCTCGTAAAACCAAAAAAAAAAAAAAAAAAAAAAAAAAAGAATACTGTGTGCACCTAGACAGTACATTCATGGTATGTGCTCTTCCTACAAATACATACATACATATATATGTATGCATCTACAAACACACACATTTTATTTGACAAAGGAGGACAACCACTGAACTCTGACATCCTCCACACTTCACTTCACACCTGGGGACACCATATTTTTGTATTTTTAACACCTTCTTGAGACGGAGTCCTCTACATAGCCCTGGATGACTTGGAAATCATTCTGTAGACCAGGCTGGCCTCGAACTCACAGAGATCTGCCTCTGCCTTCCGAGTGCTGGGATTAAAGGCGTGCACCACCACCGCCTGGATACAACTGTATGTTTTTAAGCTGCCCACTGTTACACACTACCAGCTCTATACCCCCACTTCCTTGAGCAGCTGCCAGGTGCCAGGCTCCAACGCTAAGCACTAAAGAAACCCAGACTGTTACAGTGGGGAACATTAAAAAAAAAAAAAACTGTAGTTTATACAGTCAGTACAAATGTTAAAAAGAGAGGCCTGCATTAGATGCAATAGCCAGAAGGTCTACAACAAGCAGAGCAGCCCAGAGTAGGGGGGAGAGGGCCACAGAGACAGGCTTGAGGGTGGGTATGTCCTGGATGGCTGCCCCGAGGCTGCCAGGATCCAGTCCTTTAGCTCTCTACGCCCTGTTGGGCTGAGGCTTGCTTGTGAGCAGAGAGAGGAGGACAAATTCCTAAGGCTGAGACCTAACAGCTCTCACCAGAAGATAGCAAGGCCCAAGGGTCACTGAAGCTCTCCAATAGCCCCTCAGGCTGTGGTCTGTGGTATCAAGTTACCAGGGCAGAACACAGTCCCACACTCACCTGAGGTCCCTCCTCTGTTGAGGGAGGGGGTGTCTCTGGTGGCAATTCCCAAAATAGGCTTGTAAAACCGCCCTGCACGTAAAGAGACTGCAAACACACACTGCCACCTTGCCACCACCATTTGCTCTAGGATCAAACAGCCTCACAGAGTACTCTACTTCCCATGGCGCGCATATGACCATGACTCGCCGGCTGACCTCACCCTCTCTCTGCTCCACTATCACCCCTAGGAGAAGGACCAAAGCCTTGGCCTCCAGGTAGTGCTGCAGGGCCTGAGCTTTAAGCAGGGCCCCAGCCTGTCCTACCTATGGCAACTACTGCTTGGTCTTCTTCTGCCTAACTGAGGTGGCAACGATGCCACCTCCCAACTCTGGCGATGCCATATGTGACAAAGCCAGAGGCCCAGGAGGTAGCCAGGATAAGCTCATGTTCAGTGCCCGGGGTCACCCCACTGTGCCTCCCTTTTTATTTCAATAGGGTACTGACTCCAGACTAGCTCACAGACTCTTGCTGCAGTACCAGGACACACCATGTCTGCCTATGAGCCTGCCTGTTATCCAGAGCAGACCTTCCCTGAGTAAAGCAGCACCAAGAAGTCACTCAGCTGAAGAGGGGGCCATGGACAAATGTCAAGGGCAAAGATGAGTGTCTTTTAGTTTAATAGGGTTATGGGGGGGTTTGCTTGTTTTGAGACAGGGTCTCATCAATGACCTTCAACTTCTGATCCTCCGGCCTTCACCACTCCCAGTTTTATGTGGCACTGGTGCTGGAGACTGAACCCAGGTGTTCGCTGATGCTGGGCAAGCCCTCCTGTCTGCAGACCCTTGCTGTTAATGACTAGTGTCTACTGAGAGCCAGTTTTCTAACAGGCCAGTGCCTGTTCAACCTGCCTAAGCAGGGCAAGGATTCCTTAGCATTGTAGCCCCCAGCTTCCTGCATGTTTCTCCTAGACTTAAGCCAAACACAAAACCAACTAACATGCCTGAACAGGACTTCCATACCCTGCACCATATTCCAAACTACGGCAGCATTCTAAACATATACTCTCTTTGTCCTGAGCATTCTAAACATATACTCTCTTTGTCCTGAGCGTGTCTAAGGAACTTGCACTATTCACACAGAGCACAAAAATGCTCTTTGCACCTACACACCTATAGGGCTCCTCACATAGAACCTCAGTGACCTGCACACACACCTCAGAACCCACAATGGGGCAGGTGCATAATTACTTTTTTAAGTTGTTTAATAGCAACCAATCAATTGTATTAACTGTAGTTTAAAAAGTTATAATGGTATTTAGGGGGAAAATATCAATTCTTTCTTTGGAAACCAACTCTCAGGTCTATTTGCAAAGAAAAGCAAAACCAAACAAACAGCAAACCCCAACTGTGTCATTTTCCACTCTTTTCCTCTCTTTTTTAAAAAAATTATTTTTATTTTATGCGCATTGGTGTTTTGCCTGTGCATATGTCTGTGTGAGGATGTCAGATCTTGGAGCTAGAGACAGGTAGTTGACATGTGGGTGCTGGGAATTGAACTCAGAACCTTTGGAAAAGCAGCCAGTGCTCTTAACCATTGAGCCACCTCTCCTGTCCCCATCTCTTTCCCTTTCTTAAAACCAGTTTCCAACCTAAGATCACTTTCTTTTTGGGGGGAAGGGAGGGGAGACAGGAGGGAGAGAGGAATGGAGGGATGGGGAGAGAGAGATGGGAGGTGGGGGAGGTGGAGGCCTAGAGAAGAGAGGTGGTCAGTCAGATCCCTGAAACCACAGTCACAGATGGTTGAGCCACTGGACCTGGGTGCTAGGACCTGAACATGGGTCTCCTGCAGGAGCAGCAAGCACTCTTAGCCCCTGAGCAATCTCTTCAGCCCCAGGTTACTTTCTCTACCTCAGGGATAACAAATCACACCTCCCAGAAACACCCTGACCCGCCCAACCGGTCTGCTGCAGTCCCTTCAGATGACTGCAGCAGACCAGATTTACAGGCAGATGTCACTTCAAAGGGAGCTGAGCTGCTTCCCAACAACGAGGAGCCAACTTTGACTTCCAAGGGTCTAGAAAAACCTACATGTAAGTTCTGTGAAACAGCCTGTTCTTGTGTTCCTCCTAGCCTTTTGACGGTAGGAGTACTGTTAGAAAACCCTAAAACCAGGAGAAATGGCAAAAGGCAAAAAACGGTTATAAACAGACGAACATCAAGAGATTCACATAAATACCTGACTCTAAGTTAATACAACGCACACAGGCAGGACAGCCAAAGGACTGCAAGCAATCAAACCAGTGAACCTTTCCAAACATTAAGCATTTTTTAAAGGCACAAACTGTTTTGAGAGCTGAGCACACTCTGGCCTCTGACTTGTTGCTTATCACATCTGGTTGCACATTCCAAATTCAAGTTCAATTAGGTAGTAAGAGAAAATGCGGGGAAATACTTGTCATTGCAATTATGTCCCAAACGTCTGGAATTACTCCTCTGAATAAAGAGTCAGACATTTTCACTGAGAGCGCAATTCTGCCATTTAAACTGTGAAAACTGACAGGCGTGTAGTCCTGGCCTTCCAAGATCTGGAGAAAATGGGGCAGGATGATGAAGTCATGGCCAGCCTGAGCTACACCAGGGAGGCCCTGTTCTGAAACGCCAAGGGTTGGGGAGCATATCAGAGGTCGTATGTTTACCTGGTATGTGTAAACCCTGGGCCCGACCCTCACCATGAAGAGTAAAATCAAGAAAACAAAAACAGTAAAGAAGGTTAAAGTCCTAGGATCTCTTGCTGAAAGGCTAATGACGATTAATGATTGCTGGAGGAGAGGATATCATTTTTTCTAATGGTGTAGCCACTGGGACTAGAGCGGAAGAAGGGGTTCAAAAGGAAAGAAAGGAAGAGGGTAGTGGGTGCGAAACTGTCAAAAAAGTCTTCCGGGAGTAAAAAAATAAAAAATAAAATAAAAAAAGAGGAAAACGCTGTGGTCTTCCCCCGGGTCCCTCCGGCGCTGCGAACCCAGCGGTCACAGCTCCGCCCGCGGGCCTCACCTGGCGCGCGGCCGGCCCGGCCCCGTTCAGCAGCGGCGTCTCCTCATCAGGCGGCCCAGTCCTTCGAAGCAGCGGCGCCGCCTCCTCATCATCGCGGTCTCGGCCGGACCAAGACACCTTCTTGGAGACGTTGGCCATGGTCCACTGAGGACCAAACTCAATAAGAACAGCCGTCCGTCCGTCCGGCAGCGTTCCCGTGACGCGCGCCCGGGACTCACGTGATCTGCCATTGGTGCCCACGTGACCGACGACGGTGGCCGGAGAGATCCTTGAACGCAGGGTCTTCTGGGAGTTGTGGTTCACTAGTCCTTGCAGCCCAGGCTAGACACCTCAAGAGCGATTATCAGTCAATATCTTCACTGAAATCAGTGACCCAGACTCAAGAGAACTAGCCTGAGATGCACGCCCAGTCCCTGAAGAGAAGATGATGTGGAAAAAAGAAGAAACTGGATGTACGGGTTCTGGTATCGACCCTCTTAACTAAGTTGGCTTCGAGCGTCTCCTGTGCTATGCGTCTTAATGCTGTAATTCCGGACAAAGGCTTTGAGACCCTGAACATTCCAGACTAGCAAGGCTAAGGTTCGGGCCTCCGAAGAGACTAAGACAGCGCATGTGTGTGTGGTGTTGACTTGCCATGGGTACTTTAGGCAATAGTATTTTAACAAGGTTGGTTAAGTTTATTAGTGTGGTCTTGGCATCATTGAGTTGTTCTTAAGAGATATATCCTGAAATATGTAGGGGCGAGAATTGGGATTTGAAGCTGCAGCTTTAGGAACTGGAAACTAACCGTAATCATCATGGGTGGCACTCTACCGAGAAGGAAGGAGAATGGTGTAATGCAATTCTCAGCAGTGCTATGGCAGGTGCTTTACAAAAGACGGTAGAAATGGACAAGAAAGAAAGTGCCCACTTAATGAAGGAAATAGTACAATGTGAAAGCTACATGTAACAGAAATATTGGGGAGGTCTGGAGAGATGGCTCAGCAGTTAAGAGCACTGACTGCTCCTCAGGAGGACCCAGATTCAATTCCCAGCACCCACAACTGTCTGTAATGTAACTCCAGGATCCAACACCCTCACACAGACATGCATGCAGGCAAGACACCAATGCACACAAAATGCAAATAAGTATTTATTTTTTAAAATATTGGAAAAGCTGGGATTAGCATGGACAACATGGGAAGATCCTATAAAAATAATTGAAATACAATTCAGACTTTCCTTTTTTTTATTTATTTTTTATTTTTTTCCTGAGACCTGGTTTCTCTTGTATACCTGGTGGAACTTGCTTTGTAGATCAGGCTGGTGTGGAACTCAGAGATCTTCCTGCCTCTGCCTCCTGAGAGCTGGAATTAAAGGCATGTAATACCACCATCCTGTATATTCAGACTTTTTTTCTTTGTGTGTGTGTGTTATTTTTAGTTTATTCCTTAAAATCATCTAGTGCTTTCTTTGACATCTGCATGGAATATTTTCAGAGATTCTTTATCCACCAAGAGACACTATTCTCCATGTAATACTAGCACTTTATGAAAATGGCATTTCTTTTTTAAATTTATTTTATTTTTACTTTATGTGCATTAGTGTTGTACCTCATGTATGTCTGTGTGAGGGTGTTGGTTCCCTAGGAACGGGAACCATACAGTTCTGAGTTGTCAAGTGATCTTTGGGAATTGAACCCAGGTCCTCAGGAAGAACAGCCAGTGTTCTTAACCCCTGAGCCATCTCTCCAGTCTCGATTCAGACTTTCAGTGTTGACAAAAATTGTGTACAGGAAAGTTAACAAGAAGTTTAGGATATATATGTATATATATATTACATTAGCTTGCAACTTTTTTTAGGTTTGGAAATTTCCAAATCAAAAGTTTTAACTTTTCCTTAACTTCTAAGGGTGAGAGGATTACAGGAAACCTCCTTCCTTTCACATAATTCAAAGTAAAACCAAAACTAAACAGAATAAAAGGAAGGAAGTCAAATGAGGTTTGAATTTTCCCCATGATAATCCTGCAAGTGTGTGTGTGTGTGTTTGTGTTTAATACCAAAAACAAGATTCCTTCCAGAAAGTTGTATTTTTCTCATTGATGCACTTTGGTTTTGTCAGTTTGCAGGGTGGCGACAAGGATATTATGACCCTCTTTTGTATTGCTGGGCAATATTGAGAAATGACTCTGGCTTGTGTTATGATAATGCTCGTGGGGAACCTTGGCAGATTCCATGGCAGGCGAGGGTGACCGAGGCAGGGGACAAACATGCCAGGCTGACAGAGCTTAGTGAAAAGTCTCATTAGAAAGGGGAGGGAGGGCGGGGGGAGACAGAGAGAGAGAGGGAGGAGAGAGAGAGAGAGAGAGAGAGAGGAGGAGAAGGAGGAGGAGGAGGAGGAGGAGGCCAGGATCACACTTTCTTTGAAACTACGACGGACAGCTAGTACCTCAGAGGTTCAGAGGCAAGACTCCCTCTTCTCTGGTTCTTCAGGGTCAGGCACCATTATTTTTTCTTTTCTTCCTTCTTTTTTTTCTTTCTTTTTGGGGGAGGGTGGTTTCTATACAGGATTTCTCTGTATTGTTTTGGAGCCTGTCCTGGAACTCCATCTGTAGACCAGGCTGTCTTCAAACTCACAGATTTGCTTGCCTCTGCCTCCCGAGAGCTGGGATTAAAGGTGTGCTCCACCAATGCCAGGCTCCATTTCTCTCTCTCTCTCTCTCTCTCTCTCTCTCTCTCTCTCTCTCTCTCTCTCTCTCTCTCTCTCTGTCTCCCTTCTCTCCCTTCCTCCTTCCTTCCTTTCTTCCTTTTTCCTTCGAGACAGGGTTTTTTTCTATGTAGCCCTGGCTGTCCTGGAACTATCTCTGTAGACCAGGCTGGCCTCAAATTCATAGAGATCTGCTTGCCTCTGCCTCTCATGTGCTGGGATTAAAGGTGTGTGCCGCCACCGCCTGTCTTCATTATTCTTGACACATTTTTCAGCACAACAAGTTGTCAGTTGAACTGAATGCACAGGCTTGGGACTTGCTGGATGGTAGGGTCTGGGGAAAGAAAGAACTGGCAGAGGGCTAAGCAAAGTAGAGGCATGAGGCATAGCAGGGCGTGTGGGAGGGGACATGGGTGAAGGGTTATGCCTGGGAGGGTAGATGAACTCAGTAACCCTTGTGGACAAGGTGGCCAGGGCCTTCAACTCGTTTGTACTCTTTTTTACTGATCTTCTGTTTATTAAACTTAGGACCTTACACATGTCAGGCAAGTGCTCCATCATTGAACTCCACCCGAGTCCTTGTAAGAAGAGAAATGGACAGGGATGGACAAGTTGAGTGTGGGAAAACCAATGGCTTCTTGTTGGGACTGACTGCTTCCAGGGCCAGGATTGTAATAATGTAATGGGTGTGGTTAAAGTAAGACTCTAGTGGCACTGAAAAGAGTGGGGTTCATGGTTCAAAATGTACAGGTGACTTTTGCTGGCTCCACAGGGAGGCTGAATCATACAGACATGTTCAAACTGGCTCCTGAATCCAGCAGACTTCCCATGACTTGGCTGTCCCAGATCTCTACCTGTCCTTGGGGTCCTGCCACACTGCCCCCCAGTACTGCTGATTGACTCATCTAAGGCCTTCTCCTGCCCGGAGTGACTTTTGGTCTCACAGTGTCTCCTGGATGCAGCAGCCCACTGTGCAGTGACACATCTGCTGAAGTTCTGAGGTCTGCAATGATCGAAGTGGTGCCTCGGTTTCCCCTAGGCCAAGTGAGCACCTGGAATCTGGGAAAAATGTAGAAGGGATGCTGTGCAGCATCCTTTTGCTGTCCTGGTTTTGAGTTCCTTTTATGTCTGGTTACTTCCCAGTGTCTAATCTCATATGTGTCACTGGGATCAAGAGTTCTGTAATCAAACCATTGGAGGTTCACCTCCTACTTGCTGCTAGGAGTCTTTCACAGAACAACAATTTTAGGGAACATGCCATCCCTCCAACAGTCACTAGATTGTGGCTATTTCCAGGAAGAAGATGCTGCTCTCTACTCTCCTCCAAGCCAGAATGAAATGAAGTTAAAAAAAAAGTTCTAGAATATGTCAAGAGAGGCCTTTAATCCCAGAACTCGGGAGGCAGAGGCAGGTAGATATCTGTGAGTTTGAGGCCAGTCTGGTCTACCTAGTGGGTTCCAGGACAGCCAGAGCTGTTACACAGAGAAACTCTGTCTCAAAAAACCAGAGATAGAGACAGACAGAGAGAGAAGCAAGGCAGGGATGTTTGAGGAAGAGGGGCTCTCAACTGAATGTGCTTGAAACCAAAAGCCAGGTCCTTGGGGAAGCAGAAGGCAGTGGGTGATTCAAGATCACAGTATGAGGCATCCACGGGGAGTTTCCAGATCTAAAATACACCCGACTGTGACTCAGGAACAGGCGGTCTCACAGGCTGATTTTAGCTGAAGGCCTAGAACACTGGGCACACAAGAGATTGGAAAGATGCTGTTAAAAGACTCATATAAGAGCTGGGCGTTGGTGGCGCACGCCTTTAATCCCAGCACTCGGGAGGCAGAGGCAGGCGGATCTCTGTGAGTTCCAGGCCAGCCTGGTCTACAGAGCTAGTTCCAGGACAGCCTCCCAAGCCACAGAGAAACCCTGTCTCGAAAAACCAAAAAAAAAAAAAAAGAGACTCATATAAGGGGCTAGGCATGCATGAAGCCCTTTTGGGAAACACCTGTGATTCCAGCAGGAGAGTGGAGGTAGAAGGATCAGGAGTCCAGGGTTATCATCAGCTACAAGTGATTTCAAGACCAGCTGGGCTACATGAGAGCCAGTCAAAGAAAAAGAAAAAGGACTAGTTTAGAGCTCTGTTACTACGGGAGTGCAGCTGGGTAGGATGTGCACACTGCCGGCTGCCTCCCTGTGGATGACAAGGTAGTCAGATGTAGGCCTAACCTCTACAGAACAGAAGCCACCATGCACAGAGCGCAGGATGCCTTGGGGGAACCCATGGTTTGATTAGCACTGGGCATGGGTCACCTCTAGTCTGTTTTTTCATGTGAGTATTTTGCCTGCATGAATGTACACCATGTGTGTGCCTAGTACCCGTGGAAGCCAGAAAAGGCTATCAGACATGTGAGTGCTGGGAACCAAACCTGGGTCCTCTAGAAGTGCTCTCAACTGCTAAGCTGTCCCTCAGACCCACAGTTTTGCTTTTGAAATGGAAGGGGAGTGTGGCGGCACATGTCTATAATCACAACACTTGGAAAAGTGA